CCCACACCCACAATAACTGCTGATGTATAGAAACTTAAAATGCACACGAATAAGTCTGTATGTAGAAACGTAAAAATAAAAAGTTTAAATAGCATAACCAAGTATTTGTTGTAATATGTATGGTGAAGTTATGACCTGGTAAACTAAAGAAACATTCACATGTTTTTCCTACAAGTTATGAAATCAATAGTTATCGTCGTATTTATAATTCTTTTATATGTCTCAATACAAGAAAGTGGAAGAACTTTTATTGATTTTTTTCAAAAAAAAAGTAAGATACTAATCTCTAACTACAAGTCTTTATTAAAAAAAGTCTACTGAGTCGTCGGTTCGTTGTATTCTAGTGGTACATTACACGAGTGAGACAATCGTTCGATAAGACTGCTTTATTTTCCGTTAGAAGCCAACAAGGGGATGCGTGTAGAAGAATAGAAGACTCATATACACATTCTTTCAAAATGATTTTACTTATAATTAAAGACATATCATAGGAATTACATTTTTAAACCAACAATGAGTTTCATAAATAGCTACATTTCTTCCAGTCGATTCAATTGGTAGATCGAGACCACCACCTAATTGATAAATCATAAATCCAGATTATTGAATTATTGCTTTCAATGATCACCTAGCCATTCTTAATCAACTGCATTTTCAATGAAATTTGAGAGAGATGTGTTGAAGACAATACAGAAACAAAGAGAAAAGTTGATTCAAGTTGGGAACAACATATTTATATCCTAATGGATAGTATGTAAATCAATGTTGCCTTTGCTTTTATATTGGAAATTATTATTGTTGTATTAATGAGAAGGACAACAAGAACATATAAACTTGTAGGAGATCAAACAAGTGATTGAGTATATGCAAATAGCAATGATTAAGACATAACGTGTTTCCATTGAATACTCATGTGATAACTACTGTCGGTTTTTTTTGGAAAGTGTTGTGTCATAATGTATTGTATTAATACGAGTGATTATTTTTGAAGTCTGTGAAAACTGATACAAAAATTGAGTCGATTCCGATACATTCTAGTAATGTTAGTGCATCTAAAGTGCCCGTTTATTTGATTTGAATTCTTTCTAATAAATAACTTGAATTTGAATAGAAAAAAATTCTAGACATGATTGACTTGGAATGGTTTTATTATATAGATAAATTATTTATAAACAAGATGGAAAAAGAATATCCAAAAAAGAATCTTACCTCAGATACTAATTACAAGAAAGATAAAAATTACAGGTGAATTTCGAATCATGAACAAGTACACTTATCTTTTGTCTGGTTGCTTAAGTAAAATAATATTATACATCAATAGTGAAATCTTTCATTTCAAGAATGAAAAAATGAATATTCCTCAGTTCTCGGTTTCAGTTTTACTCTATGTTTTTCTTTACTCCGGTATACTTCAAGATAATTCTGCACATTTGCTACTTTTAAAATACAAATGTATAGGATATTATTTGCCCTAGATACAGTTGAATATTTTATTTCACAATTTTATCAGAAAAAATGATCACATACAAATATCCTATAGCAGTCTTTCATGCAAGAAACATTACTTTATATGTATTTTTATAAAATTCAAAAGCAAAATAATATGACGAGTCAATAAATTATTGATAGATCATGTTTTTTCACTACAAGCTCTACTATGATGAAAATCTGAGTTGCTTAACCTAGCAGATGTTGCTCTCAGAGCAGGTATTAAATGTTTTGTCATCATTTTCACTCTACAACTACTGAACTATCACGTTTTTCATGTTTCAGTTCGGACTCGTTTGATTCACTAACACGTCTTTGTCGAAGATTTGTATGTTTCGGACGAACAAATATACTTCTATAGTGTTCTATTCGAGATGTTACCGATTCTTCGGAATCGATCGATGTTGTACTGATAATACTATCACGAATGGGAAAAGATGTATCTGATTCGTTACAATCATTATTATGTATTGATTCTTGATACGTATCAAGTTCATTTTCTGTCGCAGATAACAATCGTTCGTTAGCATTGTGACGATATACTACAGTGTCTGAGTGGATCGATGGTGAATTGATAGGATGATAAATTCGATATGATTCATTCAATGCAACGGGAATATTGCTGTCTACAGAAGGAATATCCGAAATATTTACATTCTTGATTTGTGATTTGGAAATATTTTCTTTAGATATTGGAGGTTCGTTTGAATCGATTGATGTCGAAGCAATAATTATGTTCTTAAGTGGATTTGATTTATCAGCCTCCATTGAAATTTCTTTATTAATAGTATTATGATAATGGTTTGATTCGGTTGTTTTATTAGGTGTCTTTGATATGACAGATTCTGAATGTGGTGTTAAATCTTCTGACTCATTGGAAATGATCGATGAAACAACTTGTTTTGTTGGTATTGATAATGGGTTTTCATAAACATCTGTCGAATATGTTTTTGAGATGTTTAAGTCACCTGATATATCTTGGACGGTATCAACATGTGAGACGTTTGAATTGGATTTCTCCAGTGCATTTGGTGTGACTTTCACTTGTATACAACCCATAAAATGATTTTGTTCTAATTAATAAACTTTTGATGGAGTTGTCATGAAAATATTCTTTTTCTTTTCTTATTATAATTTATGATTAATTCTTATTCGTAAACGATCGAATATTATCTTATCAAAAAATTAAATACCAACGCAAATAAAAGATAACATTAAGAAATTCTCAGCATAAACTGTTGACAAACTCTTTTAGAAGGTTATATCAATGAAGTATGATAGTGTCAATATTATTATGTTATACTACAAAAATAACAAAGTAATGTAGAATCAACTGTATTAAAGGTAAAACAACTTCAATTATTTCTATTCAAAGATAACGATGGAACAATGTCCTTCTTATAATTCTCAAAGTATGAAACCTTGAAAAATTTTTCTTGCAACTTCATGATATACTTAATCAACTTGGTACTATAATAACTTTTTCATCATTATTATATATTTCAGTGTATGATATCACAGTTAATATTCAAACAGTTTGATAATGAATATTGACTAAACTTTAGTTTGTGTCTTCTTTTAACATCTGATATCTCAGAGGCGTCAATAAATGTGCAAAAGAGGGAATGGTCGCGTGAGAATACGAAAAGTTGTACATATGTCGTGCTTTACCTTTGAACTGATATTTTACGCATGCGCAGACCTCAATGAATACATGTAAAAGTAATACAAATGCTTTTTTGGTGGCTATTAAAAGACAAGGAAACTGTAAATCTTTTTGAGAGTGAAATTAATGAGAACGAGATAATGCTAATTTTTTTCATATTGCAACATGAAGAATTTTGCAAATGATAAATTTTAAATTTTTTTTGAAACTTTACCATGATTTTGTTATAGAATAAAAACATTTATCCTAGTGCTAAAGACTATACACTCGACTTCATACGAAAACTATGAAGATGAACAGATTATGTTCGTATGGAAATGATACTGAAGAAAAACGTTGAAAAGTCTAGTATAATCTAGTTATTATTAAGTTCACTGTCAAAAAAATTGATAACTTTCTACCTTAAAATAATAGTTACTAAAACAACCTTTTGGAACTAAAGAAAACTCTTCGGAAGATCTGAAACCTGTTGAATATTACATTGTTACATGTAAGATTTGTTCAAAAACTATTGTTTGAAAGAAAAATCTTTTAAATAATCTGTCGGAATAGGGCTAATGTATGTTTTCATAATAAGGATATTTTATTTTGATTAAATCGAAAAGTTTATTTACATCGATTGTAGTGAACTCTTTTTGTTTTTTAAATGATGAAAAATTTTACAAAATAATATATAATTTATTTTAAATTATTGATATTCTATCACTAATTATCATTATTCTTCAATCGAAAAAAAAATTATTTTTTAATATACTAAACGCGTTTTAAAAGAGTCCAATGTATTACTGAACAAAGATCATATCATATATAGTAAAACTATTGTAAACTTACATTTCTGAATTCGATTACTACTACGTACTTTCTGATTATTTTTTTATTTCACAAAAAAAAAATGTTAGAACTTTTACCAATATCATTTACATTTACATCATTAGTAAAAATTCTTATAATTCTTGGTATTACTATGTTTCTTGGTAAGGTATGGTATTCACCGATAGGTTTTCAAAAACAATGGATGAATGCAATGCAATGGAAAGAAGGTGATTGTGATGAATGTCATACTATGGGTATTGTTATGGCAAATTTAGGAAGTTTATTAAGTTCTATGGTTTTAAATATATTGTTAATTGCATTCAATATTCGAAAACATCAATATCTTAGTGCTATGTTGGCTGCTGGAATACTATGTGGTTTTTATGCAGTAAGTTTTTTGTATTAAAAATAATATTTAGTACTAAATGAGCGAGTCCAAGGATTATTTTAATTTGTTTAGTTTGTTATTTATGATTGAGATATCTTTAAAATTTCTCATTTTCTTTTGTAGTTTAATGGTTGGAACCGTGTATTTTTTTCAAAAAATTCTAATCGCCAACACAATCGTACATTATATTTACTTGATATTGGTCATATGTTTGTTCTTTATTCACTTGTATCACTTGTATTAGTTAGTTTTTAATCTTGTTCCATGTTATATTCTTTCATATAAGTTAGATATTTCTTGTTATTATTGTTATATATATATGTATTGATCTCTTTTGTTCTTGGTTATTTGATATTATTGAAATAAAAATATGATTCTAGATGAACTATGATATATAATTCTTTTTTTTTCTATTATTAACAAAGAATTCGTTTGAATAATAAGAAAATTCATATAGAACGTCATTGATGTATATTTCAAGATAATTTAAATAGTTTTCAAAGAAATAATTTACAAAAAAATCTAGAGTTTTACTCGATGATTTGTTTCGATTTCACAAGAAGATCTTACTCTTATGGTGTAATCCAGGATTTCGATAATGAGGAGATTGGTTGATGAGGATCATCTTTTTTTTTTTTTGGTATATCATATTCAATATATTTCTTTGCAATTTAATGAGCATATTCGAAATTAATTCTACTGAATTTGTCTCATGTTATCTTCCATCTTTTTCGAATTATTCTTTAATAATGCTTTTAGCAAAAGGAAATAAATAAATTTCTTTCAAAAATCAAACATTTTCGGATTCCAAACTTTATGAAATGGTTCTCATTTATCTTGTAAAAAGTTTGTTATTATCATCGATTCTGTTTTTTTTTTCAGTTATTAAATAATCCATACCTTATAGATATATTTTTTATCGTCTCTGTCAGTGAATTAGTGCAATATTCTCCTGAGCAATGCCATTATTTAGTCGATTGACTTTGCTAGAACTCAATGAGAAAAGAGAAGTAAGTTTGCATTTCACTTAAAATAATGATAGCGCCATCGTTAATTTGGAGCCTTTCTTCATATATAAGTATAATTGAAAAAATATTACATATGTTCTATTTCTTTTATTTACTTGCTAAAACCAATCGTCAAACCGTGCCACGAAAAATTCAAAAGAATATCTTTTCTTGTAGAAATCGATTAGCAAAAATCAAACAAATTCATATTAATTTTACTTTTCGGTATACTTTTAAAGAGAAAAATAGTAGGCAAATATAAAAGTTATTGTTAGTTTCTTTTCTTTTTCTCTACTGTCTCTTAAATTTTTATACTAAACAAATCAAGCGATTTATCGTTTACATTAATTGTTAGCTCTCTTTGCAACTGAAATGAACACCATTAGCTAATCGAATAGACGAGTGTCTAACTTTTTATGCTGTTTTCATTTTAATCACCTTAAATCTTGAAAAACGATAAAGTTCACAAAGAGGTGAGGCTCGTTATCAGCAAAACTGTTCGCACTTCCTCATAAAATTCAATTTTATGTTACGTAATTTGTTATTTTTAATGTCAGAAAACTTTGACTAATAAAATCAAATCTTCTAATGCATTCTGTACTGTATACCATGTAACTAAGGTAACCAAGATTAAGTTATGCTATAGAGTGTTTGCATTGAAAATACTTTATTCATATATTCAGCCGATCTATATTAAAAATTAAACTGTTTTTGTTCTCTGCTGAATGGTTTATGTGAACATATGAGAAATAATTATTTCTTGCCTTTCTTGCTATAAAGATATGATACATGTCGCATACCATTAAATCAGAACGATATCAACCAGATAATCCTAAGAAACCTACTAAAGAGGAGTTAGAAGATATGTTTCTTTTTCGAAATGTTCAAAATAGTTCTATGCTGAGTGTGGCTGTTCGTGAAGAGAATATCCGCACCCAAATCAGAAAAAGTAGGTTTTGTTAATACACATCAACATGTATCCGAAAGACTTTCTTTGTCCAAAAATGAATCAACAGTTTTTTTTCTACAAAATAATCACAAACAGTATGCATTCACACTATTAAAAGACATGTCGTATTTTTATACTTTGATACGTTAAATATTTTTTTTTAATGGAAAATCGAATTACTATTTTTTCGGTAAGATCCAGCCATGGTAAAGTGGTCCGGTCTCGGTCATTGATTTATTTCTCAACATGTTCTCTACTAAATTTTAAACGAAAAAAAAAACCTAGAAAACAATACGAATAGCCAATAAACCATGACATATCTAGAGTATGATACAATTTTTTTAGCGTTTTCACTGAGCGGAATGTCAGAATTCACATTTATCACTGATAGAAAATATTTCATATTGCTTCGTGTTTTTTTTCGAAACGAAGGTTTTTGAAACAGTCATTCTCATTTATATCGCTCAGATGCTTTTAATCATACTTCGCACATAGATTCTAGTGATACTAAATGATTGTCAATTAATAAACAAAAAGAAAAACGAAATGAATGTAATGTAATAAACGGTATTGATTTGATTTTCATGCATTTTTATCAATTCAAATTCGTCAACGTGATAAAAAAAACATAGACAGGGAGTCACAAAAAGTCTTTAATATACGATGTAATCACATCGAAAGAAAGAAATTACTTTTGAATTAAGAAAGACAGATTCATATCTCGAATATTTCTACTGATTTTGGTTTAAAAAAGAATTTGTTTGTAGATGAGATTTTCAATCATATTTGACGCAGATAATATTCCTTGTTGTCAATGTATCATACGGAATAGATGTTGATAGAATCAGTGGTTCGACATCCATTTTTATAGGAAACATATTTCTTGATATGTTTTCTGTTAAAATACATTTACCATAAACATCATTTTAGTTATGCACGCAAGTATACAGTAAGAGTTTTCTGACGGGCGTATTGATGTACATACAATTAAATCAATGCTCAATATGACGAAACTATATTCAAAGATTGTTTTTTTGGAAGAAACAAATAAATAGAAAAGAAATAAAGCATAAAGAAAATTACCCTGTATTTTCAAATATTTTACTAAAAATATTATATATAGATGCGGGTGTTACCACATCAGAGAAGGGTCCTCACACACATAATCAGAGTTAAATGCGTCTAGGAACTAATCTTTTTTCGTAATTAATTGAAAGAAAATTCTTTAGATGAATTCAATATGTAATCTTTCAATTCGGTTCTAATTACTCTTTATTTATATAGACATGTTATTACAGACACACAAAACTTCTAATCGAAATATAGTGAATCTTTTCTTAAGACTAAAAATATTCAATGTCGGGCTTGGTAGTATTATATTGTCGTGACTTGTGTATTTACAAAAATAAATAAATAAACAAGACAAAAATTTAGAAAAAGGCGGAAAGTTTAGCGATAAACGCATGAACAAATCGCCCCTATGTTTCATCAAAACCTATTTTACATATTTTTCTTTTGAATATACTAACGATTAAGCCGAGAACTGTTGAGACAAGATATTTATTCATTTTTCGAACAATTTGGAGAAGGTTTGCAGAAATTTTACAATATCGTTTTTGAATCAGAACTTCGTATTCTTTTCAAATTGCGGCATAGAGTTGTACTAATCGATGCAGATACAGAAAATAGGATCGCATCTTGTTCGAAATTGATTCCATAATGTTTTTCAATCATATTTATTATCAATATCTTTGCTAATTGCCGTAAAAACGTTCGATCTATAGTTTAATCTGACTTCCTTTTGTTTAACTATATCTTATTTTGAATTTTTTTACAATCAGTACTCACACCATTGACAATCGTCTCGGTAATAGAGTTTTTTAAGTCTGGAAATTCAGAAATCGTGAACATGTCACTTTCGCTCTTACCCAAAACTTTCGTCGCTCATATGTGCCATTCATAATACTATTCAACAAAGTATTATTTTGTAAAGAAATCCTGGCTCTTATCGTTGTTTGAGAAAATTTATACTCTGGTTGCTCTTCTATACTAGATAGTCGTTTTGTGAATTGAAACTCTTTCAAAGAATTCGCTCACCAAATTCTCATTCTGGATCAATGTGATAAAACTCTGCCTGATCCTCTTAATGGATCGAAAGGTGAAGGAAGGCTTTATTTCAAAGCTTTTGACGCACATCTTATAATTCAACAGTGAACTATTTCAGCTATAGTAAGAATAAAGATATATTCATTGTGAAAATGTTACTAACACCCATGAGCAAAATAAAAAGAAATCTAAGTGAGTAGCAAAATAGATTCAACAACTATGGCGGGTGTGTGTGGTCGTGGGTGTGGAAATTGATCTACCTCACACTCACCCACACCCACACCCACATCCACACCCAAGAAATGCAGTATAATTTAATTTTACATGTATAACTGAAATTTCGATCTTTCTGAGTCGATCATGATTAGCAAAGAAGACATCATCTGTAACATGAGTTAACTTTTATTCATAACAAACAATAACTGATGAAAAGAACTAAAACAACAAAAATTAAATTAAACTGAATTTCTTTAAAATGTTTTGATAAACTATTGTTGTATTCAAATTTACTTTTTTACTTATTGATTATGTTCCTGCAGAATTAAAATACTTGAAATGTATAGATTTTATTAAATTGAAGATATTCATAAAATTTTGAAGGGGTTTTAAATGGCCAGTTATTAATTCTCATAGTTATGTTTATATGAATTTATTTACTCGTTGTGCATGGTAACACAGTTTTTGTTGCTTTAATTTCTTTTAATCAGTTATTGTTGATTAGGCATCAAAATGTGTATCAATCAAATGAATAAAAAACTCGAAATATATGAATATGCAGCATGCCACGATAATACGACTGTATTGATATCATCTGTATCATTTTTACATTTAAAACTTTTATTGCATTTTTTCAATATTCTGTGTAGAAAATAGCAATGCAATGTTACTATTTGTTCACTATTAGCAATTTTTTTATCAATTCGGATATGAGCTTACTAATGAGTGTTAATAAAAGAAAAATATTATAACTAGACCGTTTCTCAGTTACCGAAAACGTAAGTTTTTAGTTATGTACTTGTAATACAAATTTATGTAAGTTAAAAATATATAATGATCAAGTTAAGCATTGATGATATCATCTTTCTTTATTCAAACAAAAACAACAAGCATACGATTCAATTATCGTGCTTTTTTTACTTGTGAATTTTGAAAGTAAGAAAGGTTCATGTCTTCAAGATCTCTACCAGTTTCAGCTAAGAAACTATGAGCGATTCTTCTCATTATTTGCCAATTATATGCAAACATGTCTGATTCTCTTTCACATGCATACAAGCAAAAAATTATTATCAATAAATACATGTTTGTGTAGAACAGAAATTTTTCTCGTTGTCATTTTCACACACGTTTACGTTGTGTGAGCTTAATATGAATAAATAAAATTTGAATATGATTTATTTATGAATCGTAGAAATTAATAAAAGAAGAGCAGTTAATATAACACAAGAAAACAAAATGTCTAATTATACACATAATACGAATGAATAAAAGGCAAAAATTACTCTAGCAAGATTGTGAGTGATGATGCATTCGTTCTAAACATGAAAAAACTGAAGTATTTGAGTGTTTCTGGATGAAATTTCGATAATAACTGATATAAAACTTTTTCTTGTTTTACTAATATGTAAAGCCTACATTTAAGTGTTCCATTCATTTAAAATTGGTGATAACTACTTCGATCTTTCATTATTTTCAAACTTCAGTAACAGTATATTTGGCCAGTAGAAATCGTTGTTTAACTATTGTCTCAATTAAAATTGAAATTATACTTTCTCTTGTTTCGTTCACATTATCAACATATCAATCATATGCATAATGAGAAAAAAAAATCATACTAACTCTGTCCTTGCTGTCGTTTTCGCTCTGGTTGGAGAGAATGAAACAAAATTATACAACGTATAAGACAAGGTATTTAATGCAATGAAACTCGAGTCACGCTTCACATAAAACATAAATGAAAGTAGGAAAAAATTATCATACGATCAATGATGTCGTTGGTTTTTTCCCTTTAATTTATTTTGATAAGCATACGTTCAATTACTAATAGGCATATTTTGTTATTGAGTGTTAACGAAAAAACAAAATATTCATATTTCAAGTCGGAAAAAGATCTAGAAAAGAAAACAACGTGCATCAAATGTATAAATACAAAAGGTAAATCCTGTTCAAACAGCAGTTTACTATTCACAATACACAACTATCTATCGCACACGAAACATTACATACAAAATGAGTCGACAACCAAGACAGTGCATCGTTGAAAATTACTCGGTTATCTGGGTTGACAGCAATATTGATATGGCCAATAAAGATTGCCAAAATACAATGAAACAATTGCGTGGTGTTGTGAACCAAGTCAATACGTGTACAACAGCTGAAGAATGTATTCAACAGCTGAATGAAAATCCTGAAGAGATAGCATTTGTTATCTCCTCAGGTGCGATTGGACAACATCTTGTACCAAGTATCCATGGCATGGCAAAATTAAATGCCATATACATTTTTTGTCGTAAGAAAGAACGGTATCAAGATTGGGCTCGAAATTAGACAAAAATCCAAGATGTCCAAACGACAATCAAACATATATGTGAAAAATTGGCAACAGCTATCAAACAATACAATCAAGATCATATGTCGGTGAGCATTGTTGGTGTGAATGCAAGAGATTCTAGCAAGAATCTGAATCAGCTAGAACCGTCTTTTATGTATTTCCAAATATTCAAGGAACTACTCCTTGAGATAGAACATTGTCATCAAGACTTTGAAGACTTGATCACATTTTGCCGAAACGAATACAAAGACAATACCCAGGAAATGAAGAACATTGCAGATTTTGAACGTACTTATCACGCAACAAAAGCCATTTGGTTGTATACACGCCAATGGTTCACCTATAAAATGCTCAATGGCGCGTTAAGAACACTCAATAGCGACATTATGATTCGAATGGGTTTCTTTCTTTGTGATGTACATCGTCAAATCGAAACCTTGTACAAGAATCAGGTCAGTCAATACCATAACAAGATTTTTACAGTCTTTCGAGGACAAGGTCTATCGAAAGCAGATTTTGAAAAGCACGCAGAAAACAAAGGTGGACTTATTTCTTTTAACAACTTTTTATCCACCAGCACAAATCCAGATGTCGCCCTCGTTTTCTCCAAGGGAGCTTTACAGATGACCGATATGGTCGGAATTATATTTCGAATAACCATTGATCCTACAGTCTCATCAACTCCATTCGCCTCCATTCGAGAGGAAAGTTACTTCAAGGATGAAGAGAAAATTCTCTTCTCCATGCACACGGTGTTTCGCATTGGTGAAGTTCGAAAAATTGACAATAATCGTACACTTTATCAAGTGGACCTTAAACTTACGTCGGATAATGACCCACAACTTCGAGAATTAACTGACTTTATACGGAAAGAGGTCGGCGGCACTGAATGGTATCGAATGGGTCAATTGCTGCTCAAAATAGGTCAATTCGGCAAGGCCGAAGACTTGTATCTGGCACTACTAGAACAGGCATCGGATGATAGCGATAGAGCAGATATATATTCCTAGCGTGCATGTGCGAAAAAGGACTTTGGAGAGTACACAGAAGCAGCTTCGCTTCTGGAAAACGCACTTAAAATTGAACGTAAAACTCTTCCACACGATCACCCTTCATTATCTCATTACTACAACAACAACATAGGTGACTACTCAAAAGCACTTGAATTTTACGAAAAATCACATCAAATCTACGAAAAAGCTCTGCCTTCGAATCATCTTCATTTGGCTGTTAGTCACTTGAATTTTGCAGCATGTTACGAAAGATGGGTGATTACACAACAGCTCTTAAAACCCTTAAAAGTGCTTATCAAATTCAGCAAAAAATTTTTGAAGAAGGTAATCCAGCTTTTGCTTCAACATACAGCTGGTTTGAAAAGGTTTATCGCAGTATGAAAGATTACTCAAAGGCGCTCGATTACTTTCAAAAATGCCTCGGAATAGATCAAAAAACATTACCTGAAGGGCATCCATATTTTGGCATTACATACAGTAATATTGGTGATGTTCATCGATTAATGGGTGATTATGAGAAGGCACTTACATTTCATAGAAAAGCATTAAATATTCAAGAAAATATTCAATGTAATCCTCTTGAATGTGCAACGACATATATAAATTTAGGTGAAACTTGTCGTCAGATGAAAGATTATTCAACGGCATTGTTATATTATCAAAAAGGAATAGAAATACGTGGAAAGAAACTATCAAAAAGTCATCCTGTTTTAGCTGTAGTATATCACAATTTGGCGAAATTATATTTATCCACTCGACAATATAATATGGCAATAAAAAATGTTCAACAAGCGATAGAAATTGCTCACGAAAAATAA